CCCCAAAACCCCAAAACCCCAAAACCCCAAAACCCCGAACAATACCTTTCAAATTGAGCAAGTAAAAGGAAGTTTCGATATAAATGGTAGCGATTACAATGAGTAAAACTCTTAGTGAGCTTTATAAATAATGAAAGCAATCCGCAATTTATTTCAAATTTCTACTGAGTAGTGACCTAATAAGAGACAAGAGGTCTTCTTCAAATGAAAGATCTTCCTCAAAATATGATTTTGCACTTAAGACAAACTCGAGGTAGCAAGAATAATTGTGAAGACTGTTTTTGCACATCTTAAAATTTAAACAGATTCGCTTATTTTGCACCTAAGAACTTCGAAAATTATTTTACTACAAAAGATCTAAACATGGGCAAATGATTTCTCTGGCTCCTTGAGATGGTATTTTGGAGGTGCAGCTCTGACCTGTGGCTTCACTTGCTTTGCAATCTCAACGTGATCATCCCAAGGGTCTGATCTGGCAAACTCGATAACATCCGATTCATCAACCATTAATTTGCAAGGGATGTCTACTGAACCTTGATTGTTAGGAGATAGAAGATTTTGAACCAGATCTCTGGGAACTCCTTTGCTTAACTTGACATCTTCTCCTTGAAGCTTCACTATCTCTGAATTGATTCTTTGAAGTAACGTAGAAGTTGGAGTGTCTTGGTTCCCCCAGAAAATCTGACCATCTCCATTTTTCATTACCATGATTAGTGGGCCATTTGCTAAAGGCTTCAGGTCAATATTCCATTGGTTAGCAAGATACCAGAAAGACTCAGCTTCGTCGTGGTTGTAGTCAGAAAGATCTGCTTCAGCGTAGACAATAGTACTACCTTTAAGATCATCGAAACTTTGGCTACTAGCTTGGCATCCATTTAGTCCTTTCTTAAGCGATCCAGTGGTGAGAAGGTTTCTCTCATTAAGTGCTCTATTATACCTCTGGTGCTTATACCACACAGTCACCATGATATCGTCAAGAGAGTCTTCAATGAACTGTCTGAGCTTAGCTGCATCATCTAAAAAGAATTAGCACTATTTTTCAGCTAATAAATGTTTAGCCACCAAGCATCCATTTAGCTTAGTAACCTGAAGGTAAAAATTCTGGATCTCTTTTGGTACATATAAAATTTAAGTTTTTTACGAAATCCTAAAGAGACATATCCCTTACTTATTTTAGCCTGAATCATCGCAGAGACTGTGCTTATAAGAGCAAGGAGCACTATCAAACCAACAAAGCTATTAAAGCCTCTTTTGTTTCTGAAAGTTTGTTTTTCTGAGTCCATAAAATTTATTAAGTGATCATTGTTCAACCTCCTTTTAAGAATGGGGTTTTGGGGTTTTGGGGTTTTGGGGTTTTGGGG